TGCTGACGGCAGGCCCAGAACTGCCGTTCCGGCCCATACACTAACCCCAGATATCGTGCACTATCCTTAGCCGGTATGGCCTCTCCAGCCAGCCTGAGCTCATCACACGATGCTTGGACAGCACTTCTAGTATCGCTGTCGCTTGCAAAAACGAGGCGTTCACATTTCGACACATTTGGGCGCATCCCAAAATCATCACAGAACATGTCCACAATGTTGAGCAGCTCCCCCATGCGTCCCGGTGTTGTTGCCAGAAGGCTAACGTCATCGGCATAGAGGAGCATGGACACTCGCTCATTTCCAACCTCCGGTGCATCCTCTGGCCCGGTGTTAACACCGTCGTGCATATCGATGATGTCCGCAAGAGTTTCAATGTATAGTCCAAACAGCTAGGTTCATAATGGACAGCCTTGTTTCACACCTTGTTTTGACTCAAATTCACCTCCAGCATTGCCATTCGTCTTGATGACCATTGTAACCTTGTCATACGCCCGCATCAGCGACCGCAGCATGGACCCTTCAAGCCCTCTCTCTTGCAAACGAAGCCACATTATCTCCCGCGGCACCTTGTCAAGCGCCTCCTCAAAGTCAATTTGCACAATGATTAACGGCCGCTGTCCCGGTTGGCTATGCCTAGCAGTAAGGTACTGCTTGGCAAAGAGATGATGTGTAGTACCGAATCCTCTCCTGAAACCCGCTTGGCCTCGGTGCCTAAGTGAGAGCGTCTCCCCCGTGCGAACGAGCCTATCCAGGAGGACCAGCGCGTAGCATTTCGCCAAGGCGCCCCCTACTGCTATGCCCCGGTAGTTACTCGGCATGCTGGGATCCCCCTTCTTGTAAATTGGGGTGAGAACGGTAGTTGTAAACTGCCGTGGAAAGTCCCCAGTCGCCCTGGTATGTTCCAAACGCACGTGCAGTACCGGAACAAGCTGATTCACTTCCCCCCGTCGCCTGCCCCTACCACTAGCCGACGCGGAGCCTTCTTCTTCTCGAGGCAAACGCGCATAGCGGTAACATTCTGACGGCGCTACTTCCAAACCTGGTGCCTTACTGTTAGGCAGCCGGTCAACAGCACGTGCGACTTCCTCCAGCGTGAGGGGGGGTCTAGGATTTCTGCTGCCTTCGCAGTCCTGCCCAAAACCGAGTGGGATGACCGCCATTCCTGCCCCTCTAGGGGCTGCCCAAAGTTAATGAAGTTCAAAAGCCGGTTCGCACCATGAGAGCTTTTGATTGGCAGGGGTGTCTAGCTGCCCGCTGCCTAAAGGATGCATGCACAGCAGCTGCAGCTGGGAAAAGCGCTAGTTACCCAGCCACCAACCGGTCTTCCGACAGTCTGACTGCCACATTACTAATACTTCTGGCAATATGGATAGAGGTCCTGCAAATTGAAACACTAAACCCAAAAAATGGCATGAGGGTTTCATGGGTGGTTTTGCGGTGGTTTTACGGCCCTACGGCATAAAACGGGGGGTACCCCCCCAAATTAAGCGTAACCCAGGTAGGGGTAAGTGGTTACCCCTGAGGGTTTGTACGAAGGGAGGTGGGTAACCTAACCCCGGGGTAGGGGTAACCCCTTAGCGAGGGGTAACAAAGGGGTCGGGGTAATACACTACCGGGGGGTAACAGACAGGGTAACCCATGTTTACAAGTGTTCCTCGACCGAACCTGTCGGGGGCCGTATGCTGCTGTCAATGGCTTGTAGCACGTCCCTGTCTCGCCTGCCTACACGTGCATGCACAGCTGTCTCATCCGTCCATGTGAGCACATATGCCTGTCTCGCCTGTCTAAGTGTGCACACATATGTTGATGTTGTTACAGGGTGGTATAGCTTCACCAGTGGCCTCCTTCCCCAGGCGATTCCCTGCTCTCCCCTGCAAGGGGCACCCTAATCCGTTCACCCCATCCGACTTCAGAATGTATTCGTTGGGTTCAGCAACTCACTACCAGCGTCCAACCAAATGTAGCGGATCAATGGCGCCTCAACTTAGTTCCTGGTCAGCTCACAAGTTGATATAATCACGTCCACCACCGTCCACAAGATGGGGGGCCACCTCCCATTTCATCAACCCTCAAACACCCGCGGAGTCGGCAGGCGGATTTGATCTCGGTCACTCCGGGAGCAGAAGTTAGGCCTTAACCTTTGCCAGCCGCCTGCCACTTCCATCCATGCCTGACTCGCCTGTCTACACATGCAAACATACATGTCCACCGTGTTGACTGGTTGCTGAGTAGGCCTCTCTCCGAAGGAGCGGTGATAACGGCAGTAAGGGAGCGTTTGACGAGCGGCTGGGACCATGCGGGGACCATGCGCGTCTTGCCAGAGGAGTATCCATCAGATGGGAAGCAAATTACAAGTGCCGCACGAGTGCCTTTAAAACCCTAAGTTAACGATGTAGTCCGACTAGGGGTTGGTCGTAAGGATTAGGCCCCCCAAAACTCAATTTCTTCGTGCGCCACCGGAGAGTCGAACTCCGCTCTTTTGCTTGGAAGGCAAATATCCTACCGATGGACTAGTGGCGCGACCTGGAATGAACATGGCCATATGAAGACATAAGCAATATATATTGCAGTTCTAAGAAGCCGCAACAGTTATGTGGCCAACACATGCAAAAGGAATTTTCACTCCGCGTTTAGCACGTCGTAAGCTAATGCAGTTTCGTTCATGTTGCTGGGCCTTGGAGGCAAACAGAGCACGAAGGGGCAAGTACCATGTCCCCGGGGGGCAGCGGATCTGCCGCTGTTGTGGTAAGATGTGGTACCAATAGCCAAGTCGAGCATGAATAACACGTGTTTATCAGAATGCCCAGCCTGTAATGATATTCGTGCGGAAGAGAGATTCGATCTTCAGCGTTAACAGAGCATGTTGGAGGCCGTAAAATGGGAGCCAGCACGTCTGGCGAGGATGTTGGAACGTTTGTGGGCTCACCGAACCTCAGTTATCCCGTTTGGGCGCTAGTCTGGGCTGATAGTGCGGTGTTTCCCTTTCTTCGTGGCGTTTAGGCGTTTAGGTATTGCCCTTGGGTTTGAGAAATACATTTTGCTGGACTGTCCGGCGTGTACGACAAAATCAGATCTGGTATGGATTTTCCACGCTTCGTGCATAAGAAGGACGCTATGAAGTGGGAACCTGAACGCCTGGCAAGGATGCTGGAACGTATATGGTCCCACCGCAACTCTATCGTTCCCTTTGGTCGCTAGTATCCTTTATCCCTTGCTTTGTCAGAAGTGCGAGGTAGGAGGGTGCTTATAGGCAATCTGGCAGGCCTTGAGCCCTTGGCTCGTATTGGGCGGTTTGCAGGTACGGGGAACGCACCCACGACCATGTAACACACACACACACACACACACACACACACACACACACTCACACACACACACTCTTTCTCTCTTTCTCTCTCTTTCTCTCTCTCTCTCTCTCTCTCTCTCTCTCTCTCTCTCTTAACTACTTTGCAGCTACAACGGCTATAATGTGCTATAAACGGCAAGCTGCTGGCTGAATATGGGACAGCACAGCAGACAAGTTAGGCTCATCACAACGTGTGTCGGCAGGCTGCAGGTTAAGGTTAGGTGCTGGACAGATAAAACGGAGAGTTACCTACGTCAAAATGTTCCAACATACGTGAATACATCGTCCCGAGCAGATGCCACATATCTTACATGTCCAAGCGTTTTCCTATCAGGCAATAGGTGCGAATCAGCAACGCTAACACGCATTCAGCATCAGCAGATCCCATGTTCACCGAAGGCGCGCTATAGCTACCTGACATTGCTAGCGATACAAATCGTTGCGCCGGAGACCGTCGTCGACCGTAAGACCGAGCAGCAGGGCGTCCTCCCCATCCTCGCTCACTCGCTGTCCACCTCAACCAAGTTAGCCAAGCAATCCTCAATTCCACCGCATGATTGCCAAGTTGAAATGACCTTATCTTGTTCAGAAGTAATCGTTTGCGCGCGTGTTGTCGGTGTTAATTAGGTGGTAATTGGACGCTTTAGGATATGCAGCTAAGCGCAACGGAACAATGCTATGAGCGATTTTAATGACATGGATTGATGAATATAGCTTTTAGCTGAGCTTTGTTCTCGCGGAAAGGACGGAGCTGCACGGTTGCGGAAAAAGTCGCCGAGCGTTGGGCTTTCTTTCTACGCCTGTGCCAGTTAATGTAGACTATACAGTTTTTCTAGGCAATAATTATCATTTATGACAGAAGTAACCCAAAGAATTTGAAACGATCTAACATGTCAATTTGTAGAGGTCAGTACGGTTCAGACTTGTCAAGGAGGCATGGCGCGAGGACGAGCAAGCGCCCTAATGCAAATTTCAGCCTAATCAATATGCAATCAAAAAGAATAGGGCAAGCGCAACGGGAAAATTGGCTTCAGGCACCTGTATCGACCACGCCACGTAGCTTAACGTGTACGTTTTAGGACATTTCTTGTCATTTAGGTTTCCTAACGTGAAAACAAATGGCCCCAAAGTGATAAAAAGCTCTTCCTTCGTCCGCAAGCTGCGTGCGAATCCCACTCGCTCCGAAATCCACGCCTCGTAGCGTATCACACACCTAAACAGCTATGGAGATCTTTGATTCTTGATTGACTGGCAATCGAAAGTAAGATCATTTATAATATAGAAACCATTCACGAGCACTGGAAAATTATAAAGGTAAGTGACCTTCCCAAGGCGTAACGCCTGCCTGTCGCGTCAGCAGTCAATCCTTGCTTCGCTGTTGTACTCTAACAAAGAGCTTTCAAAATTGGTAAACTATATACATCTTATCCATTTTTGCTGTGTCCACCCAGGCGTTGGGAGATTGGACGTGCCTGACCGCCGAAGGAGGCAAATCTTCTTCAGCTCGCGTCCCTTCCCGATCAAGGCATAAACTTACTTGCCTTGGACCCTAAGAAGCACCAGGAAAAGCGTTCAAGTGTGCCAACGTGGGTAGAGCCTTCGCTATATATACATCGCAAGGTCGGAAACATCTAACGAGCGCAGGTAAACAATAATGCTTGCGCGCGCGCCTGCTGCTGATGTGTATCCCTGTTGCTGCCTGGGCCAATTGGCAAGGCGAGCGACGATGAAAAAGCGGCAGGCCTGGCCCATTTGTAAGCTATTGCACGTTATTAGATATCCGTCGGTGCGTGCATTAGCCTGCGCATCTGAGCGAGATCTTCTGAGTGATGAGCGAGATGCTAGCTATGCATGCTTTATGCTTTTTGTATGTCTATGATTAACGAAGGTCGCTTGAATACGTAGCTAGGCAAGCAAGCGCATGCGTGTGATGACGCAGCGGACGCAGCAAATGTGGCCTGCTGCTGCTGCTGTTTGTTTGCTTACATGTCTTTAGAAATATATCTAATATCTAATGGGGCATCAGCAGCGCAAGTAGTCCTCTCTCATTTCCAACTCTTACAGGCGGTCTTCATTTATGTTTTTTTGCCTCGCTAGTATGTTCTAATACATTGTTCCTGTCGCCCCCTATTTATTTGTCGGAGATAGAGCAGGCAATAGGAATAAAGAGCATGCTAGCCTTTTGTCAGCAATTCAAATCCAAAGCAAAACTCATCACGCACGAGCACGTCACCCTTGCTCGCTCGCTCGCTCGCTCGCTGACGTGCACTCCTCTCTGTTACGCCGTTTACATGACATGCAAGGCATGCAGAACAACAACAACAGGGTGCGACGTGCCGCGGGCAGGAGGCGCTACTATGCGTACATCGCGCCACCCATCGATGATCGCATCGTTCAGCACATCGTCGTCGTCGCGCAGTTCCTCGTGTTCGGCGTCGGGGCCACGGAGGCGGCGGCATTCAGAGACGCCGAACTCTCGCTTTTCCAACTGGCCACCGAGCAGCCGCTGCCTGATCCCGTGTCGCTCCATGAGGCGATGGAAGCTGTTCGGACGGGGCTGGGTGTTGAGGATCCTGGCAGGTTTAGGTGGGTCACCGTGGAATTGCCCGACGACTTGTCGTTGGACGGAGGCAGGCTCTGCAGGAGGCGCCGCCTGGCTTAAAAGGGCTTTCAATACCGTCCTCGCAATTGAATTGCTTATTTCCTCCTCCTTGATCGACTGCTTGCCTGATCGATCGATGTATTTATATGAGGGTGCTCTAGATTCTTAGATGATGATGCGGAGGATGATGGCTGGTGTAGTCTGATGACGTATAGTCTTGTTGCCTGACGATGATGATGAAAAGCCGTTTGCATGCAGGACTGCTTGCGTGCTTATTACTAATATTTTGGTGCTTGCTTTAATGAGATATGTAGCCTTCGCTTGATTCAAGAGTATGTCTAAGGGTAGCATAGCTAGCTAGGTGTTCTATCTGTTACTCGCTGCTGCTGGAAGAAATGGCTGTCGTTCTGTATAGTACGCATTCACACATCAACGCAGGTTCTGCAAGGTGTGTAGGCTTACCTTTCTATTTATCTATCTATCTTTCTATCTATCTATCTTTTTAGCTGCCTGAACGTTATTTCCCCGCCTTTCCGTGGGGGAAGGACGAAATTTCCTAGTGCGGGGCTTTGTATAATTTAAACATCCTTTCGCAGAATCGATGAATAAAGGACATACATACGGAGCATCTATACGTACATCGGCGGTTTGCTAGCCTGTGAGCTCACGGCTTGTGACCTCGAGCATGCATGATGATGCCGTATTACTGGAGTGTGTGGGGTCTGTAAGTGTAGTTCTGTTCCTCTTCTGCGCACAAGCAAGAGTGCACGTGCGCAAGTGTATTTCCTATCCTGGTGAAAGACGGCGCGTACTGGCATGATAAGAACGCAAGACATATGCGCCTGCCGCTTAAATCAATTTAATAAGACAGTTTGACTGATGGCACATGGTGTAACGTAACGGTTAACTGAACGAGCCTGCGTGCTGACGCCGCCAGACCTGCCTCTGCCTATGTATGAGAGTTTGTGTGTATGAGAGAGAGAGTGAGTCTGTGTGTGTGTGTGTGTGTGTGTGTGTGTGTGTGTGTGTGTGTGTGTGTGTGTGTGTGTGTGTGTGTGTGTGTGTGTATGCGTTCCCCGTACGTGCAAACCGCCCAATACGAGCCGAGGGCTCAAGGGCTGCCAGATTGCCTACAAGCACCGTCCTACCTCGCACTTCTGACAAAGCAAGTGATAAAGGAGACTAACGACCAAAGGGAACGATAGAATTGCGGTGGGTCCACATACGTTCCGAGGGGTAGCGAGCCCTTCCTGACTACTCGGTTTGATCCATTATCCAAACCAGGCCATTGGTTCCGCGTCCCAGTCTTGCAAACACACGAGTCGAAGCCCAATCACCCTGTATCAGGTGTATCGTTCGTCAACGAGCCAACAGATGCGTTTGCGACACGACAAGTATTGAGTTTTAAAAGCTGATATTTGCGATATCACTATGAACATTGATTATGTAGCCGACCGGAGCGGTCACGTTATGGACATATGTTATTATGGCCTAGCGGAAGGAAGTCGGCGGGTCCAAAGGCATAAAGCAAATCATGGCATGGTTTTGCTTGGACTCGATGTAAAGTTAAGCTTTTGATGACATTCTTGCCTCATTCTCTGCGACCTAATGCATAAGCCCTCGTGGCCCTCATGGCCCTCAACGAATGTGCCTAAAGCACATGAGGGCCGATATTTGGGGCTATATATATAATATAATTTAACTTAGGGTTTTAATTTAACATAAGCCTTTGTCCATGTTGTTTAGGACCTCTGTATACTCTCATGGAGTTCCTTTTCGGCGGAAGCAAGCAAGCAAAACGCCCGCCCGCTGCCGTCTGCTTGCCAGTCCTAAGTTCACGAACAGATATCACTATTTTCATATCTTACCTAAGAGGCTTCTCTGGGCACCATCGGCGCAACGCATAACGCAGGCAAAAACTGGGAAAGCTTCTATGCCGCAGTCGCACGTTTGCTAGCTTGTAACATTGATATGTCAGCAGTTTAAAAGACGTTGTACCTGCTGATTCGGCAAACGTGCATTACAGTCGAACACAAAGGTAGCAGCAGAGACGCACGGAAGGAATTGCAAAACGAAGGCCGCTGGTGCTGCCTAGCGAAGCATCTTCATATTTTCAGTATCCTCATATTAATGATAGCATATTTGAGAGCCATACATGCCGTGCCGACTGCAGAGGACTGCACGCAATTGGCTGCTAGCCGTTGAAGTAGTGTACGATCAAGGCAATCCAAATCTTTAGGATGGGATCTCCATATCTGCATATGTATTCATATATTATTAAACATTATTACATAAAATTCAAGGCAACGCCGATTGCTAGGCCCTAGCTTGGCGCGATTGACCTTTCGCCTCGACTGTGCGCTCAGCCTGTCCTGCCGCGCTTGTGCTCACTCAGGCCTCCTAGTTGACGATGCATGAAGCTTATCAATCAAAAGTCGCAAATAAGAGCCCTTAAGCCTCATCGCCTTGCTGATCGTGGGCGTGGGCGTTTGCCACCGGGCAAACGCCTGCAACGAATTTCCGCTTCACATTTGAGCCTGGCACGAACTGACTCCTTTCCTAATCTGCTGTTTTCACTATTTTGATCGTCATCCGCCCAGGTACGCGCACAGATGTAAAGTGCAACTTGTTATGCGCCCGCTGAGCGTTACGCGCGCGCCTCAGTCCTCTGCTGATCGTCCTAATTCCTGCACCACGCTGACCAAAAAGATATGGAGAGATGTAAATATCTGTCAGGCGGATGGCATGGGTGGGATTGCGGCGTGCAGCTTTCTGACGACGGCGTGCTGCTGAACCGCATTGCTAGCCAGCAATAGATTAATAACGCCGTCCGCGAGTCGCTGCTTGCTCAGCCTGCCAGAGCTCGATCTCTCGCATATTTGCAACTCTCAATCTTAGCCAGCTCACTTAAACTCTCACCACACATGCGTGCCCTGCTTCCCCAGCAGCTCGTAGCTAGCGATTGATTGGCACACTAGCGATTGTTCGTTATCCTTACTACGTTACCTTCATATTTGCTTAGCAACACATATACAGCTTGCGGATGGACTTCCCAGCCCGATCTGCCTTTCCTCCTACCCGTTCATTCTCGCAGCAGGACCTTCAATTTCCTTCCTGCGCGCCTCCCTCGCTAGCTCCCCTGTCTCTCATTTAAGCGATCTAGTGAACTCCCGCGCTGAAGTCGCCAACTTGCTCTTGGCCTGAGCGACAACCCGCCGCCGCTGCGTCCATCTCCGCGTCCCCAACCCATTCACGCAGCCAACTAGACACGCACCCCACCGCCTCGGCAGAAAATATAAACGTTTCGCCGCCCAGTCCCACGTAAAGCCGCCAACACCACTACCAACGCCAACGCCCTTTCTGCTGTCCGCCTCCAACCCTAACGCCAACATCTCAATTGACAACAGGTGAGCACATACGCATGGGTACTCGTCACACCTCTCTGGGTAACGCAACCGAGGCGTAACACATACACACACACTCTCTCTCTCCCTCTCTCTCACACACACACATACATACACACATTACTGTATATTACCCGCCACCCCCTGCTGCACCTGCCAGGTGCCTGGCGTTCATCCAACCACGCATGACCGCACCACCGTAGATATCATAAGTGTAAACCCTAAGTCATCAATTAATGCGTCGGCATCATTAACCTCTGCTGCGATTGCTGCTGCCTGCCTTGCATACCTTGATAACCTTCGTCCCTTTGAGGAGAGTTCAGCACGGACACATGGACAACGGTCGTACAGGTCATCATCGTGCATTAATGGATGCCGGCGATGGCCGCAACGCTGATAGGCGGGCTGCCGTGGCCGGTCCTCCTAACAACGCGGCCGCTGCTATAGCTAGACCCGTACTCGTGTTACGCTATAGAGCAATTGGTGGCGACTACTACTACTACTACAATGAGATTGGCGCCATTTACTTTGAAGAGGATGACGAGGATGACGATGGCGACGACGATGGCGACGGTGGCGATGATGGTGATGATGACGATGATGATGATGATGATGATGATGATGATGATGATGATGATGATGATGATGATGATGACAACGGCGACGACATTGTTGACAGTGGCGAGGATGTCAGTGGGGATGACGTCATCGAAAGCGACAGCCCTTCGAGCGGGTCGTCTTCTGATGGGACCGACCACATGCGGCTGCAGGGACTGCCGCCGATTGGTGCCCCGCCGTTCCTGTACGGGGCTCCCGGGCTGGTGAGTGAGTGCGACATGTACCACATTTAGTTAGTCTTCATTCCGCATAGCACGTCATGCATAGCGTACTTACATCACATAACCACAAGTCTGTATGATGTGTGTGTGTGTGTGTGTGTGTGTGTGTGTGTGTGTGTGTGTGTGTGTGTGTGTGTGTGTGTGTGTGTGTGT